CGGCCAACAGCACCTGCTCCACCGTGGAGCTGAGCTGAGGCACCAGCCTGACGCCATGTCTCAGGGACATCGGCGGCGTCCCTGCGGACGCCATCAGCGCCACGAGACCCGGCAAACACAGAAAAACTACACTAAACGTACAAAAACACTATACAACAACGAACACACAACAAACATACAGAAAACTGAATAAATTTGAACGCGCTTTCCTTCACCTCCTCTGTCTTCACAACTACACCTCCACCAACGAAGAAGAAGAAGAAACAGAAGAAGAAGAAGACCTCGTTACCCTTTGACATTTAGCTAGGTCCAGGGGGGTGTGTCCTGCTGGTCTCTTGCGAGGGTTGATTGGCTGAGAGGCGACGGCCTCCTGTTCTGTGATTGGTCCATCCTCGTCTTTGTCTTCTTCTTCTGACGAGTAGTTGAAAAAGAGCGGCTCGTCGTTCTCCATGTTCTTATCAGCACCTGAAAAACAGTCGAGGTTAAATCATCCGTTTGTTTCTCGTCTGCAGTCGTTGTTCAGCATCAGTCAGAGAGCGACGTCTGACCTGCTGCGATGAGCATGGAGCAGAGCGTCGGCGAGCCCAGACCGGCCGCCAGGTGGAGAGGCGTGTTTCCTCCAAAGGTGCAGGCGTTAACGTCGGCCTTCAGCTGGAAGAGAGACATAGAGACAGAGAGACAGAGACAGAGAGAGACAGAGACAGAGACAGAGAGAGACAGAGAGAGGCACTGTGATGTTCATCATCCTCTGACTTCAGCCCGACCAGCAGGGGGCGCCCTATAGGCTGTATTTATACTAAAACTAGTCCCTCCTGGAAGTCGTCATGACAACAGCTAATGGTAATTCAACCAATCACCACAAATGTGACATCACTGTGGTTTCACCAGGAACGACACAGATAAACATGGACGTGTGACTTTACCTCTGTGATGAGCGTGCACGCCACCTTGAACAGGTTTTCTCTGACGGCCAGGTGGAGGGCGCTGTTTCCACTTTTCTGCTCGGAGGCGTTGATCTTGGCTCCGCCCTCCACCAGCAGGCGGAGGCAGCGCTCGCCGTCCCTCCTCACTGCCAGGTGAAGGGGGTGGAGACCTGACAGAGAAACAGGAATAAAATCAAAAACATATTGAGCTGTTGATCATAAAATCACAACTACGATGCAAAGTTTTACTTTTATTTTCTGTGGAGACGAGAACATTAAACTTCCTGTTGTAACCGACCAATCACAGATTACACAGAGCTCAGACTGGACATCATCTAGATCTCTGGTCATTCTATCAATACTGCATGTATCATGTACAAATACTTCAAACCTGAAGTCACACACTGTTTCTTCTAATGTAGAGAATCTGTTGTTGTGTTGATGTCTTCAGTTCATCAGCATCTATTGTCCTCGTGTCCTGGAGACGGATCCTCACAT